AACTAAGAAAGGTTAAATAGTTTTAAATCTCCTTAAAATGCAGAAACCAAGTGCCTTAAATGGCGCACTTAAACATTCCAGCACACCAAAAGAGCTCTTAAGATTTTTAAATTAATCGTTCTTTTCCGTGCACCAACCCCCAGTCACTTCCAAAGCAAAGCTCTTTGGGAACGTTTAAAACACTTCAAGAAATCTAAAACGCCATGTTCTTGAAGAGTGATTAGAAATTGTAACTGCTTGTGACTTTTTTTTTTTTTTAATCTAAGCATCTCCATTTGAAAGCTTGTCAAGGTGCAGGCAGGGCAAGGAAACTTTTATTTTTTGCGCAGGAGATCAAGATAAAATGTCAAAACAAACTTACAATTTCCCAAGATGGCTTTATGAGGCAAAGCTGTCAATTTTGCTGTCATGGAGCTTCAGAACAGCCTAAGTTTCTCATTTTTTACCTCATTATTCACGGTGGAATTGCAAACTTTTTTTTTTTTTTTTTTTTTTTGACCTTTCGGAAATCAAGCCTGGAGTTGTGACATTTAAGTTAGAAGTTAGTCTTCTGATCTTCTAATTACATAGGTTCTTTCTTAAATAGAATAACAAGTTTTTTTTTTTCCACGTTGGGAACATGTTTTCCTACGTTTTGGAAAAAGCATACCACTGACATCTAAGCATACGAGAAGATTCCCTCAAGGCCTGGACGGTGTCTTTCCCTCATTTTATCCCCAACACTGCACAGCAATCATCACGTACCGGATGCCCAGCCTACACCTTGGAGCTAGACGATGCCATTTTACCTTCCTCCTCGTGAACAGTATTTGAGTGGTATTTCTACTGCATCTTCAGCTGTTTCCTGGTCGTGGCAATGTGGTTGAGAGTAGGACAAATACCTATTTCTTCTCATTCTGACAAAAGTCTGCCGTTTTACTGCCCTCGTCTCTCTTGATCTTCAGAGCTGGGATTCTCTCCTTTAGCCTGCATCGGATTTACATGGGGGCTTGTTGAAACACAGATCGCTGGATCCTGCTCCCAGAATGTTTATTTCAAGAGGTCTGGGATTATTGTTGTTAGGTGCTATTGAGTTGGCTTCGACTCACAGTGACCCTGTGTACAACAGAACAAAACACTGCCCGGTCCTGCGCCACCCTCACAATCATTAATGCTTGAGCCCATTCTTGCAGCCACTGTGTCAGTCCGTCTTGTCGACGGTCTTCCTCTTTTTCGTTGATTCTGTACTCTACCAAGCACGATGTCCTTTTCCAGGGACTGGTCCTTGCTGATAACACATCCAAGGTACATGAGACGAAGTCTCACGATCCTCACTTCCAAGGAGCACTCTGGCTGTACTTCTTCCAAGACAGACTTGGTGGTTCTTCTGGCAGTCCATGGGATATTCAGTATCGTTCCCCA